GAGTTCGGTCGTAGGTTCGCGCCTCACTCGGACTGGCTGGAGTTTTTCGGGATTTAACCACGTCTGTAACGCCTGGATAGAAGCTGGTTACTCTTAAAAAGACCTCCCGAAAGGCACTATTCCTCGCGTAACGACCGTCATAAACGCATACAACTACTATTACATGACAATTACGTCACACTTCACCACGGAGCGATATAGACTAGGCTCAATAGAATCTCATGCCAAACAAGACAAAACGGAACTTTTTTCGAATTCTTTCAACATCAATTCTTACGAAACGTTTTTTTTTAAATTTCAATTAACTTTATTCAATTTTTAAAATACTGATACATAAATGCAATGCTTAAAGGGCGAATTTTTACGACTCAGTGCAAGTTTGTTGTATTGCTGCAGACTTTTTCTTCTTTCGATATTCCTTTTAGTTTCATAAATGCCGAAAAGAAAGAATGTAAATTACTCGCAACCTGAAAAAAAGCATATAATTATGTCATAATAAATGTTACAAATACAACTAGATGAGATTTGAAAGTATTCATTTTTCTCAATTTTGCAAAAAAAACAATTTCGTATTGATATAAATTTTGCATAAATTATGCACAAACACCGAAACTTTTATATAAATTATATAAACTTCAGATAAAAATACAGGCACATCCAACAGAACGACTTCTCGTTAAAACGACTTTTGGTTTTCAATACTAAAACTTCAATACCAAAACGTGCCCTATCGTTAAGTGGGTTTATTTTATATTTTTTTCAATACATTGTTTTAACAGAACAATTTGTGGAATAAGTCTGAAATCTTATTTCAAATGCAAGATGAAAGAATCATGAAAAATAATGCAACTGATTTCAACTTTATACCCATTGAAGGGGACGATAAGCCCGTAAAGAAAGGTCAAATCCTCTATGAGATTGTCATTTCCTGATGTTGTGAGAAAGAGAGGAAGTGAGAAGCCACTTTCTTTTAAAGCCACCATACTCAACCTGCGACCCGCTGAGCTTTTGTGAGTGGCCCGGACGTGAAAGAGAGAGAAAAATAATTACGTTGACTTCTGGAAAAAATTACCACTTCTGGAAAGTACTGCCCGATCAATATAAGACTGTAAAAACTGTGTTCAAATTTTACTTACGTTGTTCGCATCAACGTATCTATGTGAAACGTCATACTCAAAAATGAAATATGCAAAGAACATATATAGAAACTGGCTTACAATTCACACCTAAATGCTGTTTTACGAGTAGCATGCAGCAGTTACAAGTCTGATTTAAATGAATTGACGGCCACATGGCCGAGCAGTCAAGGTGGCAGCCTACCGCTCTGGGGGACCCGGAATCGGATCCGGTCGGGTCAGGGAATCCCCAGGAATTTTTTGGGAAGTGGTCCGTTCGGACATGTCGGACCCCGTCTCTCTCTACCCGGCCGAACCCATAATGGGCCTCTTAATTGGTCATTGATGGCACTAAGAGGCCCTCTTAGTGCCAGCAATGCGGAAAGAATATGAAAAAAAGATTTAAATGAAATTGTGAATAAACGTTCGTAATATCAACAGTCACACTAAATTTCTAGGTTCAGTGAGAAATTAAGTTTTTCATTATAATTGTCATGTTGCGACCCGTGTGTTATAGCTATCATGTGTATGTGGCTTGAGAGAAAAAAACGTTGAGTATGGTGGTTTTAAAGTATTACCTGTTTGAGAATATTTGTAAATTTTTTAAATTTATACTTATCTTCTCGGTAATTTTATCCGTGATTTACTAGTTTGGTAGCGCTCTGGCAGTGATTAGTGTTTGAACTTCTCGAGAGCAATTGACATTCTCTACTTGAGCCACGACTATATGCAACAGCGTATCCATTAAGGTTTCCCTGACAGAATCCGGAGTGCTTTTTAAAAACGTGAAGAAAACTCCGAAAAGTCTGCAGGACCAGCCTATTGGTGAGGCAAAAACCTACGAAAAGCTATTACTGATCGGAGATTTTATTCACCACTGGGTGCATGCTTTTTATAGCGTTATGTGTTTAGGAGATTGGTTTGCAAATTGTCAGATTATATAAATTATTGTATACAAAACAACTGTTTTGTTAACAACCATATTAATTATATAGTACAGTTTATCGATTAATGATTAGTAATTACTGTTTTAAGCATTTTACATGCCTAAATAATAGTTTGTTATTTATAAAAAGACATTGCCTGTTACAATTTTGCAAACTTTTTGCAGTTTTGGTTGACGTTGTAAGGCATTATCTGTTCCCTTGAAAATTATGGTAAATAGACTCTCGAGTAACGTTTTCTCACAGAATGTCTGAATTAAATGGGTTATATACGTTGCCTGTGGGGATTCGTGTATGTGAGATCGACATAAAATATATATATAATTTCATGTCCATTAATTATAAATATATAAAACTATTCAAATAGCGCTTAAAAATATTTTGCATTGTAAATATAATTCGTATTTCTATAAACAAATACAAACTTTGAAAGGAATTCTTTTCGTAACTGGATAAATACCACCGATCATGAGACACAAGGACACTTTCCCAAATCTTTTCATGAAATTTAAGATCTACAAATAAAAGTAAATAAAGAATTTACTAATTAATGAAATATTATTTTAATTTTTAAAATGGTTTATTAATAGACGAAAATACAGACTTTTAACTTTTCTTCAGGATGTAAATTGCTGACAGCAAATTATCGGACATCTTGAAAGCCATTTTGCATCTGAAAAATAAAAAAAAGTATTGAAAATGATAATAAAAGATTTCTATTAACGTCATTTCGTGTTATGAGACATATTTTTAGAAACAAATTCTTTACCGAGAAAGCAAAACTACACAACAAACAAGCTCCAATAATACAAGTGAAGGTGGAGAAGACAACTATTGCCAGAAATGCTAATCTAATTGCATCGTTTACATCTATAAAGAACAATGCATAATAAGAAAAACTGGTTCCACATATTAGACCGAGATAGATAACCACAGTAGGATAACTAAATTTAGTATTAAGTTGACTGACGAAATTCCATAGTTCTTCGTGACGAATCATCAAATTTCTCAAATTGAAATAGAAATTTCTCTCGCTTCTTCTCACAAGAGAAAAATCTTGTATCAACTGTTTGAATTCCATTTCGGTAAGAACTAATAATGTTCCTACTAACAGTATAGTGTAACCCATAACGCCAAATCCAAAAGCAGCAGAAAGTCCACTTTCGACCGAACAGATCAAAGCTTCTCCGTAAAACTTTTCATTTTTTTCTAACTCTGGGTACATAAATGCTACATTGTAAATCTGAAAGCAAAACACGGCGAAAATAATTTCGAAAGAAAAGAGCAGACAAATGATATTGATGAAGATATTCGCTTGGTTTATCTTTTCCGCAAGATCCTCGTTTCTTAATGTTTTTATTAGAGTGACTTTTCTGTTTTTGAAGAAACTGAATGTAAAAGCAAAGCAGCATTGTAAGCACGCGAGTGTTACCTTCGACAGAAGATTATTGTTTTTAATTAAATCGAACCATCCAATGCAAATTGCATTTTTATTCCAACCCGGAATAATCTGCCACCACATTAGGAATGCATCATTCCAGTAAATCAATTCCAAAAATCGAATGTATTTCTTCATATATTTTCTTTTAATTAAAGGTGAAAACTGGTTATTTCGGCAGTTGCACGGTTCGAAAGGATCCACACCATAGATCATCGCATTTACCCAGAACGGTCTTAAGAAGCAATACATACAGATTTCGTTAATTGCGAACGAATTCATCATTGATTCGCTTTACCAATTTTAAGTACGACGAGAATAACTATAATACATGTATTCTATTCTCTATTTTTAACACGAGGAATTCTATTATATCTGCGTTGCTCCGTTACTTATATAATACCCGGCATGTAGTCTGTGACCATAAATTACGTATAATATCCATTAGCGATGAATTTCTTAAGTGTACACAGCAATTTAAGTACAGTACATTCATTAAAAGTTTTATAATAAGATTATGTTTGATCATGCGATTTAATGACAATCAATAAAGTCTAATAGGACGTAATAAATATAAACTCATCCTTCATATAATTTGTTATAATCTATATATATAAAATTGCTTGTCCTGACTGACTCACTCACTGATTCATCATCGCCCAGAGCAAACCGCTGAACCTAAAGAGGTGAAATTTGGTACACAGTTAGGGTACGTCATGAAAACGCACACTAAGAAGGAATTTTTCGAAATTCCCCTGCGGGGGGAGAGGGAGAGTATTAAGTCTTAACCGGAAGAACGGCTTATAATGTACTATTTTAGATGCGATTTTTTGTTTTTAACTGCGTTTTAGTAGGGTATGCCATGGCAATGCACATTTAGAAGGGATTTTTCGAAATTCCCCAGCGAGGGCTAGGGAGAGCATTAAGGCTTAACCGGAAGAACGGCTTCTACTGTACTATTTTACATACGATTTTTTGTTAAGTTTAGTCTTCATTGAGTACTTAGGCGTATTAAATTGATAACATTTCAGACATTGTTACAAATGTTTTTATATATTTCGATTTTTTAATCAAATGTTCGAACCGTTTTAAATTCGAATTTGTTATTGCGTATTGGTTCGATTATAGAACAATTGTAAACGTTACAGAAAATTGATCAACTTGAAAAAATTCGTTTGATTTTGAGCAATTCTCATCATTTTCAGTGGTAGGTGTTATATAACAATTACAGTACTATGGTTGTTGAAATACTGAATATAAATGGGGTTTGCTTGCAAAACCTCCGCGGGCGAAGTCGCGGGTAACAGCTAGTCTTATTATATTATAAATATCTTTATGCATGATATACTTATTAATTTGTATAATTAATACAAGAGAAAAATGACGAAAACTTTCCGAGAAATTCGCCTTTGAAATTTGTTGTGTGACGTAAAATCGAGGGGGGGACTGGCTTTTATTCACGTTTTTTTTAAATAACAGTGATTCAATGTTAAAGTTCTTATTGTGCTCGTTGCCAATACAATAACTTGTTTTATTGTTTAATATGTTTTTTGTTTATTAAAGCTGTCCAAACGCTCAGACACTCATACGCACTCCTCGAAAAAAATTGTTCTTACATTTATGAATAGAAAATAATATGTATATTTTTCTCTAGTTTTTCATTCAGTTAAACCTGTGTAAACAGGAATTTCCTTTTCGGTTTGACAGGTTTTTATTTTATAAATAACCCTGTTTATAACGGAAACCTGTCAAACACGAAAAGATATTCGGTACGTTACGTACCCGGTTTACACAGGTTTCACTGAAATAATAAAAGCCTAAGCCTATTTAAAGATATATATAAATTTCAAATATTTTTATTAGTTCAAATATAATGAATATAATACAGGTAAACTTCTAATAACGTCCACCTGTAAATAGCGGCCATTTTTTCCAGAAATTTTTACAAAGTTCCTAAAGAAAGTAACAACCAAATAATATGTTATTTTCAATGCATTGTTTAACGGAAATGCATAAAAAATAACCTTTGAACAACGGCCATTTTTCGGTGGCCGTTGTCTACAGGTTTGGTAGTATTATCATTGAATACATTGCTCAAAACGAATCTAAATATATAAAATTGTTTGTCCTGACTGACTGACTGAATGGCTCACTGATTCATCATCGCCCAGAGCAAACCGCTTAACCTAAAGAGGTGAAAATTGGTAGGCAGTTAGGGTACGTCATGGAAACTCACACTAAGAAGGGATTTTTCGAAATTTTTTCTCAGGGGAGAGGGAGAGAATTTAGACTTCATCGAGTACTTAGGTGTATTAAATTAATAACATTTCAGACATTGTTATAAATGTTTTTATCTATTTCCATTTTAAAAATGTTCGAACCGTTTTAAATTCGAATTTGTTATTGCATATTGGTTCGATTATAGAACGATTGTAAACGTTCCAGAAAATTGATCAAATTGAAAATAGTTCGTTTGATTCTCGGCAATTCTCATCATTCTCAGCGGTAGGTGTTATATTACAATTACTATGGTTGTTGAAATACTGAATATAAATGGGGTTTGCTTGCAAAATTTTCGCGAGCGAAGTCGCGGGTAACAGCTAGTCTTTAATTAATAAAGCGAAAATCTGTATAAACCTTAAATATACTCTACGAGTTCGGTTTACACAGGTTGCACTTTATATATTTACAGTAAGAACTCGCTTCTTACTGTAAATATATAAAGTGTTCCTACGACACGTTCCTACACAACAAACCGCTAAGCTGAACAGCGTTAAACCAGGTAATTTCAACATAGAGTAATAAGGCTCTCACCAGAAACCTGCTGTAACTCCTCAATATCCTGCTAGTCCCGTTACATCGATTAGGTTCAGTTTGGTCAATCTAACGATAGACTCTTCTGGTTGAGAATTCTTGGATACCTTCAGCCATAACTTCTTTTGCATTTCGTTCGTACATTTATCAGTTATTCGTTCCCCTGTATTTTCTTAATAACGAGAACGGAGTTAATCTCGAGAACGGTATTAGATATATAAAATCCGAGACAAGCTTAAGAGCAGGAGGTCCACATTTATTTTCGATTTTCAATTTCCACCTGAAATCACGCTATTTCAATTCAAAAGTTTTTCCCCAAAAGGGTGTTAGATAGATAACCGGCACGACTCCATTATTAAAGGGAAAGTATGATGTAGAGAGGGAAGCCACTACTAATTTGAGGTGGAGGGCATATATTTTAAATTAAATGAATTAAAAATATGATAAATATTTTGCAGCCCGAAATTGTGACCATGTCATAATAAATAATTGCTCGTTTATGCATTGTAAACGAATAGAAACTTCGAATACTTCACGTACCGTACATAATACAGTAAAGCGTCGATTATCCGAAAGAATTCCAGTCGACAAATTTAATTTTCGCCAGTGCTGTGGCGCTGCAATCTTTGGCTATGTCTTGGGCTACTCAAATATTTTCCGTTTTTGATACTAAATTAACTTCTGAATTATTTTTTCTTGTTTTTATATTTTTCAATATATTTATTTTGATTGTACAAAATAAAAAAATAATTTTTACAATATAATAGTCACGATTATTATTTTAAAAAGTTTACGTTAGGCTTAACATCGACGAAAATTCAACGCAAAGCGACACGCAACGAAGAAAAATTTCAACATGGGATAGGTTAATATATTTTTTCGTGCATGATCGGTTATCCGAAATATCGATTTTTTTTCCGAACAACCCCAGTCCCCAATTGGTTCGGATAATCGACGCTTTACTGTATAATCATTGTGTCATTAGTGTTTTTATTTACACGTTAGAAAAATTTATAAAGAAAAAAGCTATACTCCAATATTTAAAAATTTTAAATTAAATTAGTCGAAATTTAAATTAATTTTTATTAGATGCATTGATATATGCTGACTCAAAAGTAACCACTAAACAAACTACAGTCGACCCCCTATAACACGGTTGATACGTTCCGGTTTTTATGAATCCATTTTCTACCAGTCCAGCCAATCACAGCCCGGCACGTATGCAGTTTACGGACTACGGCTGTTTGAAAGGTTTCTTCCATAAAATTAATCGATTCTAGACTAATTCGACTCAATATTTCCAAAATACGTATAATTTTTTGGGAATAATCCGTATAAACTATGCTATAAACAAAAAATTGTAGGATTACTTACCGAGTGTGCACCGTTCGACTATGCCGTTGCTTAAGCTTGTTTTCGTCGTGGA